ATACTCTTCTTCCTGCGTCCTACAAACCTTCTACGGTAAGCAATATTATGTCCTTGCTGTTAGTCGTCCTAACTGCATTATGCTCTCCTCTCCTCTCTAGGGTGCAGTTAGGTTTCTTCCGGTAATGGTGTCTCCCTACAAAATGACTAGAAAATGGTTTTGTAATTCAATGTCCACCGGAGCCTGAACACAGCTGGAAAGCCAAGATGAAAATGTCTGAGGGTTAATACCCTCTGTAGCCTTCCATGTTTGTTACAGAACCGCGGACTTTTACGTTCCTTAATGTATAAGTCACCTGCTGTGTCCTACATCAGTTTATTGCTGTTGTAGGGAATGGCAATACAATACCGAGTCCTCAATTAGTCAATTTGAGAGAGCTGTCGAATCTAGCTAATTTAATTTTAAAGGTGGTAGCACAAATTTGAACTTAAAAATCTGCAGCCACCAGCTCACGCTGGTACCTCGCTCATGGATTTTTCTACCCTGAAGATGGAGGCGATAATTTCCTCCGAAACGTTGGTTCACACAAGATCTACATTGTACCACATCCAAGAAGACGGAATTATTCCTAGTCACCGCTGTGAAAACCTCAAATCTTACAATGTGGCAACAGTTAACCAATCGTGTCTCTTTGTCTCTTACATTCCATACCGGTTATGAAAATGTAATTTTAATACAAAGCAGTTAACTTTCTCTTTAATGGCCGATCAGGATTTGGAACAGGGCTCTACTTTTCAGCCTTACGTTACATCAGGGGGTATAAAAGTATAATTTGCATTAGCTGCAGACAGAGATCGATAAGATTGCAACCGCGTGCTGTCTGAATACGGTCACAACGTGCTACTGAATTAATTAGTAAATGAATGCGTTAATGAACTGTAATGATGAGGAGTGAACTGGATATACATTCGAGTAATTGAACAGTCTGAATAACATTCATGACAGGAATTCTGTGTTGTTCTCATCATACACATCAACAAACAATGCTTACATGAACTGAACATAGTTTGTTCTTGCCATCTGCAGGTTATGAAATGTTGCTCATAATTCAGACACGTACTACAAAATCCTGGACAGCTAAATATTAAATAATTCTATGGGTCAACTGAAATTCTAAGCCATTCCAAATAACTTTAGACAGGCAGGAATTACAAAGCTTGTGGGGAGTTTCCCTGAGCCCTCTCACTGCATTGCCATTTAGCTCGCTATTTAACTCCGAATTAACCAATGATCACAACTCGGTTTCGTAGTGTAACTAACTCTGGAAGCAAAGGAAGAAATTACAATATGACTAAATTCAGATTCCGCTTTTGGCCACGATTCTGAGCCAATTACACCCGCATTTAATCTACTTTTGAGCAGCCATTTTCAAAGGCGTTCTTATCCGTATTGTATCAGGATTACCCATCTCCCCCATCACCCATAACCCATCATAGGATCCTGTATTTCACTGTACGTGGTACTTCACTCTGCTGTCTGCGTACCTCGTGAAACCCGCCAGTGTATAAACCGCATTCTCACGTAATATGTGTGAATATAAAAGGGGGTTGGATTGGTGAATGGATTCATTGACCACTTACAGGTCGTAACTACAAATAACTATACCACTATCGCTTTTTTTTCACACTTGGTGGTTCACTAGAGCACACAGTCTCATGTTCGCAATCTGTTAATAGACGTTTCCTGGTAAGGGCTTTTAACAAGGGCTATTCTTCTGCCTCCGAGCTCAAGTGCTCTCTGAATGGCGGTTCTCTTTCAACTGAACTGAACTTGTTTCAATTTTCCTCTTTATAACCCCTTTGCAAGGACCGAATAGAAAACATTTTTTCCAATATCACATCCATTGTTGCATACCTATCCATTGCCTAGAAACGTCTCTGGTATATTCGCTTATCTCGCGGTCGTTGCATATCAACGGCTCTACACGCTACAATATATTCCTCCAGAAGTGACTAGTTTGTTGTAATACACAAATTACCTCACATATGAAGATATATATATATATATACTCGTACATTTTATATACATAATATACATTGTGACGGGACAAGATGCATGCAGTTAAGATCATAACACTTATAATTTTTTAAGTACAATAATGCGTCAATGATAGAAATGTAATTTACGGGTTCTTATTTGTGTGTATTTTTTGCGCATGCGTGCCTTTATGAATAGCTATTCGCGCTTGAGCGGAATGTAAACGTCCACCATGCTAAATGTAAGCAGACACTACCGACATACAATAAAATATAAATAAAATAAAATAAAATAGTTGCAGTGATCTTTGGAGTAACGCAGTGAGAATGTAGATATTTGTAGTTACCAGTGTAAGTGTCCAATAAATTCAGTTACCAATCCAAATCGCCTCAATAATGGCACTTACCACGTGACAATATATACGTGGTAAGTGCCACTATTCAGGGGATTTGGATTGGTAACTGAATTTATTGGACACTTACACTGGTAACTACAAATATCTACATTCTCACTGCGTTACTCCAAAGATCACTGCAACTATAGCAAAGAGAAAATACCCTCATTCTTCACAACCGTTGCTTGGTAGTGGCTTACAACCGCGGACGTTCCCCTTCATCTGGGTTCCAGAAGAGTCCCTGGCCTCAGTCACCATCTTCTCAATTCTCATAACTGCAACTCCAAACCGGTTCAGCCATCAACTGAACCACTGGTCTTCGTTATGTAGCCCCGGCACGGACTGCACAGAACACGCCTGTTCCATTATTGCATTTTCTGTCGTTGCCGTGGAAACAACGTGACTACAGCTGTTCCCTAGCAACGGCTGTTGTACTATCGGCTGTATACACAGCTGTTGCTTGTCAATGGGTCTACATGGCACAATATGTATATGTGCGTATGTGTTTGTGCGCGTAGACATGGATGCTCTACTATCATAACTGATTTAATAGTTCTGCTGTTCATAATTTCGGCTTTAAAGCATAACATACTCCTTACAATGTTCATGTTTCAGTTGCGTTACAATTGTGACTTCTGTAAATAGAAAATCTTTTGGATATTCTTGATAAAATATTTTAAGGTTTATTATGGATCACATAGCTGCAAGGATGATGTGATTTTGTGGCAATAAGCGATAATAAGAGCCGGTCACGGTAGCCCAGCGGTCTAAGGCATGCACTGTCTTCGCTCGCTTGGAAACCGGGATCGTGGGTTCGAATCCCATTCAGGGCATGGATGTTTAGTTTGTGTTTGCGTTTTTCTGTGTTTATCTACAGGTAGAGGCCTTGCGACGAGCTGATCACTCGCCCAAGGAGTCCTACCGAACGTGTAAGATCTAGAAAAATCGAAGTGAACGGGGAAGTTCATGGAGGTAGGCCTAGGCCCACTGGGGCTGTAGTGCAAAGGAAAAAAAAAGCGATAATAAGACATTTCTGGAACTGAAACCTGTCAAGAGTAGAATAAATTCCGCGATTTTGTTGGCAGCTCCTTCCATCACCTTACCTGGTACGAAATTAATTGCGAAACTAATTAAAATTTATTCACTGATTTTCGTAAAGTGCTGCTTTAGAAATTAACATATTTTAATTTTACATTCTAAAGCCCCTAGATCGGAATAAAATATCTGATTTGAATTATACACTCGGTAAGGTTATGTAATGAACAAGGCTCCGCCGCTCTACCTTGCTTTTGAATTTAATATCAATATTCCAGCGTGTGTAAAACACAGTCTCGATAAGAATACCCATGGCAGACTGAATGGGAAAATACAGTTCCCTTGCATGGCCAGTTTAGGATCCGAGCGTGGCGTGTAGTAAGGAAAGTCCGGCGAGACCCTCCTAATGAAAAGTGACGACATATTTTGGTTACGACGGTGACGGTGGCAGCATCAGTGGCCTTTTTCTATCTCTGGATCTATAGCCCCTGTGGCCCCTGGCCTCTGATTTTCAGATTCGTGATCATTTTACAAACGGTAGGACTCCTTGGACGAGTGATCAGCTCATCGCAAGGCCTCTACATAAACACAGGACAACTCAAACACAGAATAAACTTATACTTGTACATATACAAAATATCCATCCCTTGTGTGGGATTCGAACCCACGATCTCGGTTTCCAAGCGAGTGAATGTAGTACATGCCTTAGACCCCTCGGCTATCGTGACCGTCATCAATGACCTTAATAATGCAATTTATGTCAGGCATGAAAGAACGTAAGCATATAAAAACATTTACCGTCAATATACAGTAGCGTATTTTTGAGTTCCAGTGCTAAATTGTAACGCCTGAATAGCTTCAGATTCTCCCGTATGCATAAATATCCGTCATACTGTAAATTAAAGCATATTTTGTTTCCATACTCCTCTCTTATCAGGACTTTTCAGGATGCAGTTTCAGCTGAAGAAGTTAAATTAAGCGAAATATTTCAAACAAAGAATTTCCGTATATAAATCTGCTTTGACGTCACAAAATAGATCTTAGAGACGAGAGTCATTTTGCAATAGTGTTACGTCACTAAAAACCCAAAGTTAAGCATACGAAACAAACTATTGAAATGCAGTTTTATCCATACTCATGTGTGTATATTCACAATCCAGTATCAAATTATCTTCAATAACTGTATGATATCGCAAATTGTCGGATGTACGCAGTCATGCAGAATTACTGAGTTTTTGGAAATTTTCTATCATCCGTAATTCTAAAAATAATTGAATACCCCGGTGTTTCAGAAATTGGATCTGAGCTCTTTCTAAGGGGCCCAACTGATAGGTTTCTTACCCCCTCACCTGAGGTCGGAAACAGATCCAGTTTTCGAAAAGTCATGTATCCTATTTCTTTTTTAGAATTCCGGACGATGGAAGATGTAAAAAACAGCAATTTTCTGTGTTGTACACCATCGTCAGAACCCATTATTTTCTACATACACAATCATGTTACAAAATATGTCGGTACATATTTCTATAAAGTAATATATACGTGTATGTTAGACTTCAGTCTAAATTGTCATGTACATTTTTTTTCTGTCTTTCAGACAAGTCCCGACGGAAATGTGACCACTAGTACACTCACGTTCTCACCACAAGTGGAGGATTCTGGAAGGTCGCTGACCTGTCGTGCGGAGAACAGTCAAGTCAGCGGCAGCGCGCAGGAGGACACATGGACGCTGAATGTTCACTGTAAGCTCAGTCAGCACATTCCATTCTGCTGTATGCATTATAACTTTTCCGCTTAGTTGCTTCATGACTCTGCAATACTCAATTTTGTTCCCTTTGTTAATGTAGGGTTGGAGGTTCTCACAGCGATGGTTATGAAGAGTTCTGTCTTCTGGGACATAATGCTGTGTAGTCCGTTCAAATAAATGGACGTTTCGGAGGAACGTATCTCCTCTGTGTTCACGCTCAAAGAATAAACCAAGCAAGAAACCAACATAAACCTGGCAGTAAGTACTGCCACCATCTTCAGTTTGGTTCCTTGCTTGGCTTATTCTTCGACCTTGAAGTTGCTGGTAACATGGTTCCTCTGAAACTTTCGTTGACTTTCAACGAGCTACATGCCGTTATAGTCCGGAAAATATTTTGATCTTTGCTTCATATTTTCTTCTTCTTTGGACTGTATTTTTTTTTCTTGGTACTACAGCCCCAATGGGCCTAGGCCTACCTCCATGAACTTCTCCGTTCACTTCGGTTTTTCTAGATCTTACACATTCGGTAGGACTCCTTGGGCGGGTGATCAGCTCGTCGCAAGGCCTCTACCTGTATACAAACACAGAAAAACGCACACACACACAATCTAAACATCCATGCCCTGAGTGGGATTTGAACCCACGATCCAGGTTTCCAAGCGAGCGAAGACAGCACATGCCTTAGACCGCTCGGCTACCGTGACCGGCTTTGACTGTATTTAGCTTCACTAATACGCCTAGTATATTTGTCAGAAAATAAAATTAGCCTGTTACAACGATTCGAAGAAATAACTCTGTCCTTCGCAAACCCGCAAATTAAAACAACTTCGCTTTGGGGTATACGTATACAGTTTTTAGTGCGCATTTTGGTGTAGTGTAAACGCTTCTGTGCTATTCAGTGTATTCACCCGTACTGACAGCGGTCCATGATTCAAATTAATTTCTTTGCGAAATATGGACGACGGTCGCCCAGTGTGGGAAAAATAGGATTGTTGTTTCTATACCGAAAATTAAACATAGATCATGCACTTCATACTGTGTTGAAAATCGTTATGTGATTGAGATATTAGAGCATGTGGATAGACAATCACACATTCTATCTTCTATGGCTTCATTTCGAGGATCGACAAATTAAAAAAAAATACGCTGTAATATTAACAAAATTACTAGAAAGAATATAGGCAATATTGCAGTATACGAAATTACTAACAGTTTTCTTTGACGTTCGTTAAGTATATAGAAACACAGGAATAATGGCACGCAAATCAGCGAAAAACTCTCAAACGAATCCGCGAAACAGTTTACGTGATAGATCGAAAAGACTATTTATGGCTTCATGCAACACATATTTTATTACGAATCAATAAGGCTGAAAAATTAAATTGCCCAACAAAGTCTCTGATATAGAATATTAAGAAAAAATTTATCTGGCACAGATGTTGGTCACAGACATTTGAAAGTTTATTTGCCCCAGAAAGCATATAATTTATTTTGCAAAGAACAACTAAAATGGCCCTCATATCTTCTGAAATTTATAGGATGCATATTTACGTTTTGGCGTGTCACGGTAGCCGAGCGGTCTAAGGCATGAACTTTCTTCTCTGGCACGGAAGCCTGGATCGTGGATTGAATCCCACTCAGGACAAGGATGTTTTGTGTGTGCATGCGTTTATTCTGTGTTTGTGTTGTCCTGTGTTTAGGTAGCGGCCTTGCGACAGGCCAGTCACTCCTCCAGGGAGTCCTACCGTCTGTGAAATGATCAAAAGCATAATAAAAAGGAAACCTCGACATCCGTATGAGTATATAAGAGGAAGGGATGAAGAAAATATTTATGTATCTCGTATTTTGATGAATAGTTAATAATTTCTTATCCCTAACAAACAAAGAATGAATTTATATGGCCTTATGAGATGTTATCCCTTCAATACAGCTAGAACTGTCATAGCTGTGACGCAATATTTCAGCTATATCGAATGGTAGCTGTGAGGTAGTTATGTAACTACATCACCATCGGCACGCGCTAATGTTGAACTTCGCTCTTTGTGCAGTTTGAATTGTCTTAAAACACTGAGGTAAGTGAACTATTGTTTGATTTGATTAATGGACTCGTGGGTAAACTATGTAGGAGTATGTCTTCGCTTACTGACATTGCTTTGTTAGTACATTTCAGCTGTTTAATTCTCTTAAATTTCAAACAGATAGAACACTGTAATTGATTTTTCCAGGGCAATCAAATGTAAACTTCCCTATTCTCTCTGAGACATTAAGTACTGAAGTGTCGTTATATACAATTATCATGAATTCCTTTTGTGGCATGTTGAACCTTAGAGTCTTTAGGTTAAAATGTGAACCGAAGGTGACACGCCCATGTGTATACATGTCTCCTTCATTTTATGTATATGCCTCAAGATGAAGGAAATGAGCGGGACATGTAACACGCATAGGAAACCAAGAAATTCTTAGACTACAGAACCGAGATAAATATTATACTTGTTTTAATTTATCTTAAAGAAATAAAACGCACGTTAGAGGTTGTGTTCAGTGTGAGGACATTAAGGAAACAAATCTTGCAGAAATTGAGAGTGATGATGTGATGGCTGAACTGTCTTAGGATAGGTAAGATTTGAGGTTTTGACGGGCAGTGACTATGAAATATACCGTCTTCTGGAATGTGACGCCATGTATATCTTGTGTGAACTGACGTTTCGGACGAACGTATCGCCTCCAGCCAATTGTTCAAGCTGGTTCCTCGCTCGCGGATTTTTCTACCCCGAAGATGGAAGTGATACGTTCCTCCGAAACGTCTGTTCACACAAGATATATATGCCGCCACATCAAAGCAAACGTCATTCTTCTTCTCTTAGGATAGATACAAAGCTTTCTGTGTGATTGTATGAAATGTTTAATTTGCATGTACATAGGGGATTTCTTAATTATTCTCAGTAAGTATGAACTGCTCGACTAAGAGAGTGAGAGAGAGGGCCAGTAGTTGCTAATTCTGACTCGGTAGATGATATTTTCAGATGCATATTCATGCAGGCCTACTTTGCCCACAAGGTTTTTTTCTACTTTATTCAGCAAGCGTCTTAACCACATATAGGATCATATTAACATTTTAAACCCGAAATTAGTTAAAGTAATATATATGAATTTAGTTTATATCTCAAAAGGAACACATTACTTATCGATTAAATAGATTTTTCTGTTAAGCTGCCTAAGGAAATAACCAGCGTTATGTCTGAGAATAGTAGAAAACCTGCATATATATTCTAGGGGGAAAAATTCAGAGTATTTTCAAACATAACCCTTTAGTGCGCAATAGTTTTTTAATATACTGCCGCGCCATAGCTCAAGCGGTTAGTCGCTGGCTTCCCACCGTGGCGGCCTGGGTTCGATCCCGGGTCTGGTCAAGTGGGATTTGTGGTGGACAAAGTGGCTCTGTGGCAGGTTTTCTCCGAGTACTTCGGTTTCCCCTGCCAATCTTCATTCCACCAATTGCTCCACAATCAACCTCACCTATCATCTGGGGCTGGTACAATAGACCAGAAGTGGCCGCAGTACAAGGTACTTAGTCCCACCCCACTAGCAATAAAATAAATAAATAAATAAATAATATTAAATATACTACCTGCTTCAGTACGTAGAAATCTTTTATTTCTCGTTTGCCGTAAGATTTTCATAATGAACAGTGCGCATTTCACGAAGCAGCATTAGCAACCTTATCATTACAATGCAGACTTGATGTTTTCCGTGAGGTGATAACTTGACTTTTAGACACTGCTTCGACGAGCTTCATATTTCAAAGCGTTGGAACGGCTCAGTAACCTCTGTACTTAGAGTGTTAAGGTGTTCATTACACGTACATCCTGACACATGTGCCTAAGAGATAAAGTGACGTACCTTCTGAAACTTATCTAGATTTTTTGTAAGGACATGTAACTAAAATCTTTTAATTATGGCTAATTTCGGTCTGAAAACACTAAATTTACCTTACGTCATTAATATCCAATCGCGAGTCCCTCATATCAGACGTAATCGAAATACAGCAAAGCTGAAAGGCACGTCAGACCGTCAGATCGACGTGCGGTCCGAAGTACGGACGGACATGCTGACTTCTCAGGGCAGTTTCTGTAATAAGCGCAAGCATATATCGCCCATCTTTTTGGGAAGACAGTCAAGAAATTCTCCTATTTTTATGGAACAAGAATGTTTATTACCGTATTCATAAGAAACTTTCACTAGTTCTTTTCTTGACCCCGACTACATAAGTCATATTGCTAAAGGTAAACAAGATTAAGCTATCCCCTTAACAGATCGTGAAGGCCCATAGGGTTGTGAGACGTCGAGGCTCCCACATTTTCTAGACAATCGACTCACAGATGGCCGTGATTTTGTCAGCCTTACGGGCCGGCAGCCGCAGGAAAATTCCTGCTACTCACTTCTGTCAAACGCTGATTCGATCCCAGGGCCATAATGCGGCTGGAAGGATTAGATAAATGGAAAAAAGAATCCAATGATCTCATCGGGAATCGAACTCTTAACCTTCCGGATTGTAGCATAGTGCCTCAATCAGCTACATTACCGCATGCCTCCTACATTACACATTAATATTCATTTTAATATTGTGACATGTCGACTCCCTCCAAAACGAAAAAGACCTCGAGGAGAGGAGGGACCGGTAATGTAGATGAACCGGCCTCCCCAGAGAGAATGAGTGTGCCATAGAATGGAAGTAATGGATGAATGAGGCACAACTGGATCTTCTGGCGAGCTGAAAGGAAACCGCTCGAGACGAGTCGATCTTAAGAAGGGAGCGGATGTAATGGACAAAGAAGATGCTGCAAGAACAGCCTCCAAAGCAAAGGAACGGGGATGCACCGTTAGGCTATTCGGGACGAACAGCCTTAAGGAGGGAGCAGTGTGACATGTTGCGCTAAGGAGAACCACCCCCCCACCGGCAGTGACGCGGCGGGTGAGTCAGCGCTCCCCTCCCCC